TGCCCCTGCCAGACATGATCTCAAAGCCATAAAGACTTTTACAGTTTCCCTCTCCCCTGAGATAAGCTGGGGAGCCCTTCCCAAGGCCGGGGAGCAATTTCAGAGCGACCGGGGGAGCGGCGGGGCATTGCACAAGGCGGGAAATGGAACAAGTTTTATGACCCAACTTCTCTAGAACTGCCAGGTTCTCATATCCTCAGCTTGAACCTGCTAGTGAAACCTCGGTACCATGCTGGGCATACAGCATGGAGCTCCTCACTTGGCCACTGTTATGGTCTGTGTGGCCCAGGGCAACTCACTTTCTCTCACCTGCAAAGCAAGGACAATTCATTAACCCGCCTCACAGTCTCCCTGAGGCGGCCACACCAGAGGAGGCCCTGGCACCCTTCGCACACCTGCAACCAGCACCGTTCGAATCCCTTTCCTCCCCATCAACCTCATCGCACTTGTGCTTTGCCCCTCTTTCTCTTTCCACCCAGACGCTGGAGTGGCCCAATGCAGTCCTCACCTACATCTCTCTGCGGCTACACTCCCTCTTTAAATGAGCTCGCCACACTATTTGGCGTTTTGCTTTCATGTTTTTAGTAAGCTATAATTTCCATACACGAATACTCACCTTTTATAGTGTATGGCTCTCCAAGTTTTGGCAAATGTATCGGTTGGGTAACCACCACACAGTCAAGATGCAGAAGATCACCATTCCCCCCGAACCCTCACCCCACCCCATCTCAGCCCCCGGCAACCGCAGCATCTAGAGTTGTACTTTTCCAGAACATCATACAGATGGAATCGTGTGGTAGGTAGCCTTTGGGGTCTGGCTTCTTGCCCTCAGAATGGTGCACCTGAGGTCCAGGTGTTTGTATCAGTAGTTTGTTTATCGTACTGAGCGTTTGGCTTTTCAGTCACACTTGTGCTTATGGCTTGGCCTTTATCTCCCCAGCCCAACTCCCCTTTGAGTTCTAGGCTTGTAGAGCCAGTGGTTCCTTGGATATTTAATTAGCATCTCAAACAAAACATCCCAATGGAACTTCCTAACCCGAATCTACAGCTCTTCTAATCTTCCTCATTGCAAGGATCATCACCACCAGCCCCACAGTTACTTTTCTTCGTACATCTGACCCAGTAGCAAATTCTGGGCAAGTGCTGCTTCTAAAACATCCCAATCTGACCACCCCTCCCCACCACCACCTGCATTCATGTTCAGCGTTGCATAACAAATTACCCCAAATTTAGTGGCTTAAAACAACACCCCCTTGTTATCTCACCATGTCTGGTCAGATGGGCATGGCGGGATGGGGTTCTCTGCCCAGTCTTACACAACTGGAACCAAGGGATCGGCTGAGCTGTGTTCCTGCCGGATGGCTCTGGGGAAGGATTGCCTTCCCGCCTCATTCAAGTTGTTGCCTGAATTCGGTTTCTTGTGGTTGCAGGACTGAGGTCACCACTTCCTAGCGGTCTGTCAGCAGGTTTGCTCTCAGCTTCGAGAGACTGCCTGCATTCCTTGCCATGTGTCCACCTCCATCTTCAAAGCTAGCCAGAGACTCTCCCTCATATCAAATCTCTCTCACACTCCGAATTTCATTTGCCAGAAAGAGCCCAACCCCTTTTAAGAGCTCCACCTGATGAGGGCAGGCCCACCAGGGATACTCTCCCTCTCACAAAGTCAGCCACAGATTGTGCTTCCTGCTGCCTGCCCAGCCCACTGCCCGTTCTCTCCCCTCAGTCTCTCATTCTGTCTTTCCTCGCCCTTACTGCTGCCTCTCCATCCTTCTCCTGCAGGTGCACACCCCTCTCTCTCCCAGGCCTCAGTAATCTCTCCCTTCCTCGATCCATCATCTGAACAGCTGTCACCCTCGCTCCTTAGCCTCTCAATATTCAGCTGCTTGTTATTTTCTCCCACAAGTGAAAACTCTAAGTGCCACGAGGGAGGCTCCTGGTGGTGCTTGCTCTTCATAATCCCCAGGACGCTTTGGTGCAGGTATCTGCTCATCGCCGTTTGTCAAATGATGAACTTCTCACCGCCCACACTACTTCCGCCCCTCCAGGCAGACTAACTCATCAGTGCCCTCCTCCATTCTACCACGGTGGCCGCTGGAGCCGGACAACGGGTGTCTGAAGTCCAGCTGTTGCACCGGCCGTGGACAGATGTACGAAGAAACAAGTCCCTTCTTCGAGCCTCAGTTTCCTTGTTCATAAAATAGAACAAGAATAGCTGGCTCACGGGGTTGTTGTGGGGATTCAATTATGACCAGTAATGCCTGACAAAGAGGTCAACAAACATTGCCCTTGGCATCAGGATTTGTTTTTTTGCTCCCCCATCATCAAACAGCTGCACGGGATCCTGTGATTCAGGTCTTAGATCACGTCTTGGCATTTACACATGACACACTGATTCCAGAAATGGAGATCAAAGGTGACCTGGGTTCCACAAAAGAGGAAGTATGACAACGCCACGGGTTTGGGATGACAGGCCATTCACGCTGCATGGAACTTCCTTTGGCTCCTCACCCAGCCTGTCTGTCACCCAGAGTCCCTTTCACGTCCCATCCCTGCTCTTTGAGTAGTGGGGTTCCATTTGGAATACGGGATGAAAAGCTTCTAGTACTGTGGTTGGGGAAGCAGCCTTCCCCATTCTCAACGAGGCCACAGGGGTTGGGAGGAGCACAGGTCAAGTCCTGGCTCAGTTGCTCTCTAGCTCTGTGCCTTGTCCAAGTGCCTCCACCTCTCTGAACCCTGGTTTCACCACCTCTAAGATGGGGATAATAGGATTTGCTGTTTGCCTCCCACGCTGATGTTTTGCAACTGAAATGGAAACCAAGTTCTGGCCACCAGCACTGAGATTTGAGATTAACTGGGGCAAAGGGTTGATGAGGTGGAGGAACCAAGGCCAGAGGAATTTATGGCAGTGCAGGGTTTATGGTTTTGATATGGACTTATTAGGCACACTCTAGGGCTGCAATCGTCTCCTCTGGCCCCCGCCCCCATGTCCATGTTGGCAGCAGCATGGATGGGGTTTCTGTTGCAACATTAAGGAAAACATTTCCTGGTATTCACAAGTGGGCAGGGACGGGGGAGGCGGGAGTGGCCCCGGGATAAGGCAGGCAGCTAATGGTGCTCTTGAGGCTGAAGAACTCAATGGCCAGCCTCTCACTAGAAAGGGACTGGCTGAAGAATTCACACTCACTGAGTCCCTGGTGGTGGACACTTTGGGCACCTCACACACACACAGCTCTTACAGTTACTAAGATCTCATTCCATTTAATCCTGACAACACCCCTGCAGGGAGGGATCATTCCCATGTCACAGATGCAGCTCAGAGGGATGGAGTGACCAGACCAAGGTTACAATGAATCACTCAGGTGTGACTCTCGGACTGGAACTGCCAATCCCTCTGCTGAGAAAGAATGAAAGGGTCACTATGCTCCACCCTCATCCTTGAGTGACAGCACACCTAGGCACCCCACAGTCCAGCCATCAGCAATCTCCCATTCACCCATCACTGAATGCCATGGTGTGCTGGTTAACAACCAGCTCTCCAGGGGAAAGCCTTGATTTATAGTGTTTGCCAGTTTCTGTGGTGTAAATGCTTCCACCGCTGCTATCATGGCGACATTGCCCAACAGAGAGTTGGGAAGAGTAGTTAACAATCGGCTCTCACAAGCCAGCTCCAGCACACCTCTGAGTGAATGTGAGGCTGTGGTCCTTGGTGGCTAGTTTATCAGGGGACAAGACCAAGGTGGCTATGAACCTGGCTGGAATACTCAAGTGCATCCCTTGCCTTTAAATATATATATATATTGATTTCAAAGAGGATGGGAGAAGGAGAGAGAGAGAGAAAAAAACATCAATGATGAGAGAGAATCATTGATCGGCTACCTCCTGCACACCCCCTACTGGGGATTGAGCCTGCAACCCAGGCATGTGTCCTTGACCAGAATTGAACCCAGCACCCTCCAGTTCGCATGCCAACACTCTATCCATTAAGCCAAACTGGCTAGGGCTCCCTTGCTTTTATTCTTTTTCAATACAACACTTGCTTTGATGAAATTTCCCCATGCCTACTTGTCCCTTAATGCTGGCAGGTTGACCCAGGACCCAGACCAGGGCTCCATCTTGGACCCCGATGGTAGATGACAGACCGTTGGACCCTCCTGCCATCCTTTCAGATCTTTCCATCATCCCCTCCCTTTTCGACTTCCATGTCTCCACATACTGAGTACTCAAAATCCAGGCACCAGAGTCAGATTCCCACTTCTGGCTGTTAAGGAAAATCACTTCTCCTGAGCCTCCGCTCCCCATCTATAAAGTGGGTGGTGGTGGTGGTGGTGGAGGTGGTAACAATGTCTAACCTGCTTACCTCTGGATGTGAAGATTAAACAATAATGGCTTTGAGAGCACTTTGCACAGTAGGAGACTATTTTCATTCTTATTTCTAACACCTGAAAGGAAGAAAAGACACCCACCCGAGGACTTAGAAAACATACATGCCATTTATTTAGCTTTATACACTTTTGTTAAAACACACAATAAATGTTTTTTGTTTGTTTGCCCCATTGGGTGGCAGTGACAGGGCTCAGGTGTCAGCACAGGACCTAATGACATTCACACCCCCGGGAAGATGCTGATGGATCTGCCAGAACCCAGCCCACTTTCTGAACTGCTGGATGTGAATTTCACACTTCATCCCAATCAGGGCAAATCACAGAGCAATCTGGCAAAAGTAATTGGCTTGATCATCACAAGAAATCTAGGAGCATCCATGTACAACCCTCTCCTCTCTTCCCTGTCCCCTCTAAGAGAGCCACGGGAACTCTGGGAGCTTCTGAGAGCTGCCTAGAGAAGGAGTTGTCTCGGTGGAGGAATTATAGGGTCCATGGTTGCCCTCCCAGCCATTTTTTTAGTCCATCAGATTTTGTTTTAGGACTACAACTCAGGTAGACAAAAATTCCAATGTGGTGTCCTCAGTTTAGAATCAGGAAAGTAAACTTGTCTTTATTTTGTTTCCTAAAATTGCAATAAAAATTCTAAAAGTGGAATGGATTTCTCCTCCAGGAAGAGTTGACTTGGGCAGAGGACTGCCTCCTGCCCCAGATAATTGCTACCATTAAAAGCCACTGTTGCCCCACTCGACCCCATGGGAAATTCTTACCTCAGCTTGCCTCCCATGACATTGGGGGGTGGAAGAGCAAACAGTAGGAATGACCATGATGAGCAGAATGACTCCAGCTTCCCTACCTCACGCCACACTAGCCTGAGCCCCCTGGCTGGGATTTCTGGGGAATTGAAATGAGATGTGGCTAAGGAAGGCTAGAGAGCTCAGAGCAGGGAACACTCTCCTGGGATTGGGGATTTGGCTTGCTGGAGTGGGGAAGGCCAATCCTCATAGCACTGGAGAGGCAAAGATTTCTCTTGGACATACTGTCCAAATACCCTTTATGCCTCTTTTGCCAAAAGAAACAATCGCTAATGATGGAATTGGGAGGCACTGGGGTACTGCCCCGTCTATTCAGAAGGGTTAGCCCTGGCTGGGGGGTAGATAACCCGTCTAACTATTCATCCTCCTACAAAGCACAGCTCTGGTCCCAGTCTGGTCCCAGCTTTAATTGCCATGGGAAAGTGGCATTTTTCAGAATTCCCCAAAGTCACCAATATTCTGCATGGATGGAGGCATGGGCTGTTTCATCCTGGGGTTTAATGGCTCTAGAATGTACCCTGAGTGATGCTCCCCAGAGCAAGTCTCAAACCCAGACCTTCCCCTGCCTCCCCCCCGCAACTGGCCCACTCCTGGAATGGCAGAATCTTGACACTCATCCCTCAGAGTTGGGGAGCAAAGAGAGAAAAAGGTCCTAGACACGATGACAGCACTCAGGGAGCAGTACCGGCCTGAGGGGAAGAGAGCTGGGCTTGAGCAAGGTCCCACATCATCTCTAGGCAGCAGGTGAAGCAGCTGGGGGTAGATATGGATGAAGGGAAGGCAGTGGCTTCGGCAAGAGAAACGTTGTCCAAGGCAGCAGAGGATTCTCCAGCTGGGATCTCCCCAAGTCAAGGCCCCATCGTCCAGAGCAGAGGAGGGGGGCAATGTGTCGTGGCCCACAGCCCAAGTTCTTGGGCCCTTTGCCCTTTTCACTACTGCTTTGGGACTGGCCCTACTGTCACAGCTCCCAGCCCTGTGACCAAGTGACTACCAGGGGCTCTCAGAGGGGACTGGAGGGCCAGCAGAGCCCCTGACCCCCGGCGACTTGCTAGATGACTTCTTGCTTCGTGATGGTCAGCTGGGGGATGGCAGACGGGGGCTTGACAATTGTGGTGATGGCTCCTGGCAGGAGTTTGTAGGGCTCAGACCCTGAGCCACCTGGTGGTGAGGGCTGTGGAGTCTCAGGGGTGGCTGGAGGGACAGAGATACAGACAGGCTGTTCAGAATCCTAGCCCTTTGGGGAGTAAAAGCAGAGCCCTAGAAAAGTTCTCCCGCCTCTCTGGGGCTCAGTTTCCTCTTCTCTAAAGCGAGAGAAAGAAACCAGATAATCTCTAAAGTCTCTTATGGCTCAAATCTTCTGATCCCAGATCACAGTCTCATGTTCTATGAGGTCTGGAAGGCTATGGCTGGACCAGGTCACACCCAGTTCCTACTAACCTCCATCTCCTCCACTGTTTGGTATGGAGACATGAGCTGCTTCTCCCAAAGCAGGGCCCAAGTCTGACTTTCCCCAAGGACACTGGGACATGTAACAGGAATACCCATTCTTGGAGAAAAGGAGCAACAATTGATGAAACCCTAACTGGCTTAAAAAAAATTCTCTGATATATAGGTAGATGAGTAACAGAAAGTAATTGTCCTCACCCCCATAACAGGTTCAGAAAGTAACTCTGAGTCCAGCCAGTGTGGCTCAATGGTTGAGCACCAACCTATGAACCTGGAGGTCATGGTTCGATTCTCTGTCAGGGCACATACCCGGGTTGCGGGCTCGATCCCCAGTAAGGGGCATGCATAATTCTCTCTCATCATTGATGTTTCTATCTCTCCCTCTCCCTTCCTCTCTCTGAAATCAACAAAAACATAAAAATCATGACCCACTTGGCTAATTTTAGTCAATGGACAACTTTGCCAAAGAACACTCTCAATTAAATGAAATCTCATTTTAGTGGACTGCCTCATCCCAATGATAATCTCACTCTTTGAAGAACTTTGCCAACGACAAACTCACTCTTGTGAGATTTTACCTCAGAGGAGAGTCTAGTTCAACAGATATCCCAACCTAATAAATAATCTCACTCAGTTGTCAAATGGATAGCCTTAACCAATTGAGAAGCCTTATTTAATGAACAATTTTACCAAATGCACACCACCTAATGTAATTTTCACCCTAATGGATAGCCTCACCCAACAGGCAACTCATCTAGTGGATTACCCCATATCAAGGACAGCTTCATTCAGTAGAGGTTATCAATCACCTTACTGAATAGCAGCCTTAACAACTACACAATCTCATCCCTCATCCCTACCCTGGCTCCCTCTTAGGCCCCAACCTCACCCCTTCCTAATAGAATCCAAGTTGCCCACCTGCCTGCCCCCTGGGTCGGGGCCACTCACACATCTGTCCGTTGCTGAGGTGAGTAGGCATCGTGTTGGCAACAATGACGTTGGTGCCCATGTGTTCCTGCATCAGGTGAGGGTGCAGGGGATGATGGGCATGGGTTGCATCACTGGAGGATCCTGCAGGTAGAGGGAAGACTCAATGAAGATGAAGAGTTTGGGATAAGGACCATGGGCCTTGAGACACCATTTTCCTCAGGTGTGGCCAGTCAACCTGTCCATCCATTATGGATGATGCCTATTGAGTTCCTATTCCTGGGCTGGTAAACTGGGGTTTACCATTCCCATCCATGGACTTTATGAGGGTAATAAGAGGACCCAGCTAACCAAGAGAACAAACGTGATTTAAAAGAAACAGAGCATGTAAGGAAGCATTGAGATAATTTAAATATTATCATGAGTATTGATTGCATATTAATATAATGGATTTAATCAATGGCTTTTGAAATTCTTTGGCACGGAGTCCTTCAACAATTTGGTCCCAACTCACCTTTCAGCCAAGCTGACCTATTTAGTAGAGCATCTATGTGTTTCTTTGTACTTTCCTGTAATTTACAATCTCTCTGTTTTCGCTCATGTACTGGCTCCACTAGAGATGCCTTCCCCACCCCACCCCCCATGTCCACACATCCAAATTCCAGTTCAGATATTTCCTCCTAAGGGAAGCCTCTCCTGGTTCCCTCCACTCCAGTAGGAAGTAAACTTCTCCTTTCTTGCAACGCCCATAGTAATTAATTGATCTGTAACCCATCTTTAGGAATAACCACTTCTGTCTGTGAGCATTACAATGAGTCCGAGCTTCCTTGTTTAGATCCTGCCTCCTATCCTTCCAGCTCACTTCATCTAGTACCATCACTGCGAAAACTCTTCAACCCTATTGAGGCTGCCAACTCACTGATCCCCACTTTTCACTATCACCCCATCTTTATTTCTATTCTAGTCCAGCCAAGATTCCATATCCCAGCATTATAATCCCTCCCTCGCATTCATCCTCAACTCCCTCATAGCTTCCCTTCAGAGTAAAACATTTTCAAAGGGTTGTCTACTCTTGTTACCTCCACTTCGTTTTCCCACTCACTCTGTCACACTTCTCAGTCTGGTTTCCTTTCCCACAGTCCTCTGACACTACTGCTCTTTGCACAATCGCCAAGAGCCTCCATTGTGCCAATCCAATGGACACCTCCATCCCTCTCCTGTGAACTTAACACCATTAAATGCCTTGTCCTCCTTAAAACATGCCCTTCTCTTGGATTCTAGAACTTCCCTGGTTTTGCTCTTATCCCCCTGGCTCCTCTTCCTCCAACCTCCTCCCATGGCATCTAATTGCTGGAATACCGTAGAGTTGCCTTTCATCCTGAGCTTTGGGATTGTGTTTTAGCAACAGACTCAGATATCCAACTGCCTCCATGATAATTCAACTTGGATGTCTAACAGTCATCTCAAGCTTAACTCAAGTTCAAAATGGATCCCTCACCATCACCACCATGCCCAGCCTCAAACTGTTCTCTCTCAGTCTTCCCATCTTAGCAAATTGCTCCACCACCATTCCTGTGACTCAAAGCAAAAACAGAGGTTTTACCCTGGACGCTCCTCCTCCCTCTCTCCCCACATCTGATCAATCAGCAAGTCCTGCAGGTTCTTCCTCCAAACAGATGATCACGTTTTTCTCTGCTGCTAAGTTCCCAGGCATGCTTTGTCCCAGCCTCTACTGTCTTTTCCCTGATTGGAGACAATAACATTCTCAGGGGCCTCCTGTCTCCATTTTGCACCTTCCCCTCCCTAAATCCACTTTCTACCCAATGATCAGAGTAGTTCGTTTAAAACACTAGTCTGATGTTCAATCTTCTTATAATAGTTGGATGAGAATAAAGTAAAAATTTCTGACCATGGCCTATAAAACCATATACTTATCATTTGGTTTCTGCCGGCTCGCCATCTTCATCTCATACAACTCCCCCAGCTCACCACCTTATCCTTCTTCTCGAACACACTACCCTCTCCTGCTTCAGGACGTCTGTATTAGTTACTTCTGTCTAGAACAGCGGTTCTCAATCTGTGTGTCGTGACCGCTTTGGGGGTCAAACGAGCCTTTCACAGGGGTCGCCTAAGACCATCGGGAAACACATATATAATTACATATTGTTTTTGTGATTAATCACTATGCTTTAATTATGTTCAATTTGTAACAATGAAAATACATCCTGCATATCAGA